AGGGCTGGTGTGTCTACAAGATGGTCAGGGCCAGGGGCCCAGGCCTGTTTATTGAGTGGGGCCGCAAGGCAGGGCTTCGGTACCTGGCGATGGGGTGTGGCCTGGTGGTGAGGGGGCTCCAAGAGGGCGCTGATTGTGTAGGCATTTCACGCAGAGGGAAGTAACTCCTAAGAAGTGTTTTCGAGAGGCCTTAGAAGTGAGGCAAGGAGCTCTGGTGGTACAGTGGTTAAAGCATTTGGCTGGTAACCAAAAGGTCACTAGTTTGAACCCACCAGCCACTCTGTGGAGCAAAGATGAGGCAGTCTGCTTCTGTGAAGATTGACAGCCTTGGAAGTGAGTCGGAGTCCACTCGATGGCAGTGCATTTGGTTTTGTTTTATGGAGAAGTGGGGTCTGTGGATGGAAGAAGGCTGTAGGTAGCTGTGGCGTTGCACCTGAGAGTTGGTGGAACTAGAGGCTGGAGCAGCGGGCATGGACATGCCCCCCTTTGGGGTGTGTGCATAGCCCGTGGGCGGGGCCTGGGATGCTGGGGCGGGGTCTGTGGAACCGAGTTGTATGGGCAGGGCTCCTGTGTGGGCGCTTGCAGCCTGGGTCCCAATAGCAGGTGGAGGTAGTTCATGAGGGGCAGGGCCCATGTGAGCGTGGCCTAGAAGGGGGGAGGGGTTGGAGAAGGAGAAAGGGGGCTACTAAGTTGTGGCCTGGAAGGACTATGACTGGGCAGAGCCTCAAACGGAGCAACCTATGCAGCAAGTGCCTTAAGTTGGGCTGACTTAGAAGTGTGTGTGTGTGTGTAGTGAGGGGAGGGCTTGAAAGAAGCACAAAGGGGCCAGAGGAAGAGGTATTTATAGAGGGGCCCAGGTAAGTTATAAGGAGCTCTGGTGGTGTAGTGGTTAAGGCATTTGTCTACTAACCTAAAAGTCGGTGGTTCGAACCCACCAGGCAGTAAGCTTTTGTAAATATCCGCAGCCTTGGACTCCATATGGGGCAGTTCTCCTCTGTCCTCTAGGGGCGCTGTGAGTTGGAATAGACTCCAAGGCAGTGGGTTTGGTTTAGGTTTGCCTTCCGTAGCTCTGGTGGCACAGTGCCTAAGGCATTTGACTGCTCACCAGAAGGCTAGCGCTTCAGAACCCACCAGCCACTCATCAGAAGGAAGATAAGGCAATCTACTTCCGTAGTGATACCGCCTCGGAAACCCAAGGAGGGGTCGCTATGAAACGGATGTGACTTGATGGCAGTGAGTTTGGTTTGGTTTTGGTTTTGCTTCCATAAAGACTGACAGCCTTGGAAACCCAATGGAGGTCGCTATGAGTCAGAATCGATCTGATGGCGGTGAGTTTGAGGCAGGTTATGTTACCTGGGAGCCTCGCCTCCGAGAAGGTGGGGCCTGGAACAAGAGGTGGTGCCTATGGGGAAATGGGAAGGACTGGACACATTGATGGTTCGAACTCACCCAGCTGCACCACAGAAGACAGACCTGGGGATGTGTTTTCATAAAGAATGTTGTTGTTAGATGTTGTGGAGTCGGTTCCGACCGAGAGCGACTCTCTGTACAACAGAAGGAGAC